AACATTTTTCAAAAATACCTGACATTAATTTTTATCTAAATTCTTAACTTACTGAGCTGGGGGAGGGGGTTTCTAGGATCCACGACTGGTGCTAAAGTTTATTAAAATTTCGAAATTTGCGTTTCTGAGATAGTATTAATAAAATAGAATTTTTTTTTTAGATATTAAGGAAGGATCGTTTGGAATGGCCCACCTGGTAGATAGAAGAATATTATGTTTTTATGTTCCTACCTATTTTGGTTAATAACCCAAATGGCATGGATTTTCTTATTCTATTCTATATTATAATAAACAGAAAACAATATATTTAGAATAAAATTTCTTTTAGGATTTTTCACAAAGAATAAATACCGGATTAATTTAAAGCTATTAACTGCTCATTTGAAATTTCTTGATATATATGCCTTACGTTATTATACGTCTAAAGACAAATAAGTTTAAATTATCAAATAACAATTTTATATTACATAACCTACTGAATTTTTAAAATTCAAAAACATTTTTGAAATATTTAGCAATATAACTAATATATTTATTACAAAATAATCGTCTCTTTTATTTTTGAAACCCTTCCTTTCCTATGTTGATATGTATTTCAACCACAGGTTAAATAAAAATGTATGTAAATTATATAGGTAGGTATATATTAGGTAAATTTTGCTCTAATAAGTATATAGTTTCTAATGCACGGCTAAAAAGTTAATTTTTCTATTTTTCAGAACTGGTTTCATTATGAACAAATATAAAGTTCAGTTATCCTCGGTAAATCTGGAAATTTGACATTTAATACATGCAAAACATTCTTGTATTTCGACTTTAACTGAACTTTATTTTTTTATAGAAAAAACGGCCTAAGAGCTGAAGAAACCAGTCCTAAATAGCAAAATTTACTTTTAACCATCAACAAATACTTTGTAAAGGTAAAAATTAACTGTATAATCATTAAAATCTACTTTCTTAAGGTAAAAGGTTACTTTTAAACCACTACACACTACTTTTTAACCACTAAAAACAATTTTTTAAAGGTAAAAATTAATTTTTTATCAATTAAAACTACCTTTTAAAGGTAAAAAAAATATATTTTTTTATTGCAAAGAAAGTAATTTCTTAATCAGTACCTAATTTTTAACCAATAAAAGCTACCTTTAATTAATAAAATAATTTTTTAGCCATTAAAAGCCTAATTTTTAACCAGTAAAATCTATTTTTAAGAGATAAAAAATAATTTTTTAACTATTAAAACTGCCTGTTCAAGGTAACAAAATACTTTTTAACTGCAAGAAAAATACTATTTAACCACTAAAAACCTATTTTTAACCATAAAAAACTACTTTTTAGTTAGTAAAATTTTACTTTCTAACCACTAAAATTAATAACTAAAAAGTACGTTTTTAGGGACTAAAAAATAATTTCAAAGAAGTGAATTTAATAATCGTAGCAAAGTACTTTGGCTGTCGCCTATTTTAATAGAGTTTTTTTTTAAGGGTTAATACATTTTTTGCTACCATAGCAAAAAATTTTCCTCGGTGTAACACTAAGTTACAGTTAATGAGTATAAAGGGAACCAGTTCTTTTAATTATCGATGGTGTCAAATATTTTAAAATAGTGGGAGTAAAAATTATTAAAAAAATAGTAGAAAACTAAATTAAAAAATCGACCTGTCCGAGCTTTACATCCAAAAATCACTAACTCGTTACACCATGAAGCTTTTCCACACTTATATAGGGTGATTTATTAGTGTGTGGAATTTCTTTATCTCGGTTGTTTCTGAAAATACGACAAAATGTCAAATACAAAAGTTTTATGGTTCGCAAAGGCACCTATTATAAAAATATTTTCCATTATACAGAATCCCTAAAAAGCAAGGCAACATATTTTTTTTTATTTTTGAATTCCACTAAAAAGTCTAAGTATTTTTGCCTGAAATAACATATGTTTAAATTCAGTTGATTTTAAGTTATTAACTTTTTCACACTTGGACAAGCTGTAGCACCTAAAAGATTAAAATTAGAGTAAAACGGTTTACATGACCCTATATTGGTTTTTTATACTTTATACAAATAAGTTATAAAATAACCCACTTTCGGTTTAACCAGAAGTTAGATTTTTTTAACACTGAGTTAATTCAAAATACATATATCGCCTGTCCAGAATAATATTGTCCTAATTCCATTATGTATATTTTTACAGTATCATAGATATCTCTGGAGGTAATGAAATATCCTAAATTTTGGTTCAAAAAGGATTGACAGAAACTTTGTAATAAAATACTAAGTTAACAAAACTACACTACCCCTTTCCTGTAAAAAAATACATTAGGACAATATTATTATAGATATCTGGATAGGATATAAAAAATTAATACAAGTAAACCGTTTTACCCTAATTTTAACCATTTGGGTGTGAAAAAGTCAATTTTTGAATGTCAAAAAACTCGAAAACGATTGAATTTAGACATATGTTGTTTGAAGCAAAATTACTTAGATTTTTGGTAGAATTTAAAAATAAAATACAGGGTGTTCCGTTTAAAAAAACATTTTTTATTGCCTTTTTGGGGACACTCTGTATATTGGGAAATATTTTTACAGTAGGCTCCTCTGCGAAACTTTTATATTTGACATTTACTCGTATTTTCAAAAAACAACGGATATATTGGACTTCCACATACTAATGGGCCATCTTGTATATAAATAGGGGGCAAAAGTTGCCACCAATCTTCATAGCGCGCCACTGGTTAAATTTTCAAAAATTTTGTTTTATGTCAAAACACTATTTTCTAAAAGAGTGATTTGTCTCCCAAATTTAAAATAAAAATGAGCCACTGATTAAATTTTTCAAAATTGTATATACAGTATGTCCCCTAAGTTGGAATCATATGGAAAACTTTTTTATTATTAATTTTAGGAAAAAAAGTTATTCTTCATAAAAAGTTCTGCATTATCTAAAACCTAGAATACAGTCATCAAATATCAAATTTTTTGGTGGTATACGAGGTTTGTCAAAAAATATGAGTGACATTTTTGTTTTGTCTTGACATCAAAATAATAATATCATTTATATTAAACATTTATTTAAATTTAACTAACAATAAATCAAATCTTTAAATTCAATACTAACAAATTTTGATCTCCGTTGACCACCTCCAATCACTTGAATCATACTCGGAGAAACAGGTTCCACAGTTCCACACTGAGGTGAACGCACCTCCTTCTCTTGACATTTGACAAGTCAACGTCTTCAAGTGGCGCTTGTCACCACTGTCATGTGGAAACGGTTAAACAACTTGAATAAAAATGAATAGATAAATTTAAATTTGAAAATATTAATAATACTAAGATTATGATTTAGCAAGTTGTAAATATCCCGAAATATCTAATTTTGGGAGTGAGGATGACCAGGAACTTGTTGGATACGTTGTGGACAGTAGGTAGACTTTTTTATAATTATAATGTATATAAAATATAAAAAAAAATAAAAAAAAAAACCTTCAGTTTTTTTACTTTGGCCTTCTGCGTTTAACTTTCTTCATATTCAATATTGTATTTTAGATTCATATTTTAATATATCTTCCACAGTCACCCTCTGTTTGTAAATTTCTTTAAATTTTAACTAATTTGTTAACTTGTTTTCAATTTTGTGAATAGTGAAGGTGGTATAATTCCTTAATTCCACACAAGCTAACTTGCTTCTGGAGATCAGATTTGATTTGCAAGGGCTTATCCCACACTCACTATTCCCAATACCAGTTTTTTGTCACTTTGTTTGTTTCTTGTAATCGTTAATTTGTTCAAACAATCGTATATATACAATTTTAACTTTTGACCTAAAAGTCTTATTCAGATTTTATAATATATTTTTTAAATTGTAAGTTTACATCCACAATTTTTGTAGATAAGCACTGATGATGGCAAATAAGCCGAAAGCGCTTTGCATTTATTAATTAAAAAGTTTTGCATGAAATACAAGTCTTTTCTTTTGAATCTAAACTACGTGCACATAGCTGTCAACCTTTTTTGGTTATTTTAATAAAAAATATGAGTTTTACTCTAAATTAAAATACCTTTATTCTTTATACGACTGATAAAATTTGATATTTGATGGTTGTATTTTAGGTTTTAGACCATGCTCGAATTTTTATAAAGAAAACTTTTTCCCAATATTAATAATAAAAAAGATTTTCATATGCCGCCAATTTACGTAGACAGTTGGTGGCATAGGAAAGCTTTTTTATTAATAATTTTAGGAAAAAAGTTGTTCTTTTTAAAAAGTCGAGATTGGTCTAAAACCTAGAATACAACCATCAAATATCAAATTTTATCAGTCGTATAAAGAATAAAGGTATTTTAATCTAGAGTAAAACTCATATTTTTTGACAAACCTCGTATACCACTGAAAAAATTTGATATTTGATGACTGTATTCTAGGTTTTAGATAATGCAGAACTTTTTATGAAGAATAACTTTTTTTTCTAAAATTATTAATAAAAAAGTTTTCCATATGATTCCAACTTAGGGGGACATACTGTATGTCAAAATGTCATTTTTTAAAAGATTAAATTATCTGATAATTTAAAAATTAAAATATAGCCTTTGATAGTCACTTCCCCATTTAATGAACACAAGAGATAAATATTTACTGAAATAGTTCCACGAGTATCTCCTCTCTGTCTAGAAGTTTATCTTTCAAGTACCGAGTCGAGTCTAAAGCCGGATTGATTTAAAGAAAATTTCAACTCTGTATCGTAGAAACAAAGCGTGTTCATGTACCTATATGAAATTTTACTTATTAAAGAGCGCAACACCCTGTATTTCGTTATTTGATATAAAATGACGTTTTAGTTAAAAATTAAACAATGTGTTTATAAGATTTACAAGATATTGCAAAGGATGAAATACGTTTCTTTGTGTATCAGCTTTAACCAGATTATATTGCCTATAAATAACAATAAAAGACAACTAACTACTAGTTGTTTGTAGGTACGTAAAACAAAGTAGCTTACTTACTTTCCAAATAAGGGATGCCACAAATGCTTGTGGGCGTCCTGCATTTCCTCTATGCTCGCCGTGGTACTACCAACTTCGGGAACATCGTCGTGCTGCTTCAATAACTTCGGTGTATTTGCAGGATCGATAAGGTGCTGTTTAACCTTGAGTTTACCGCCAGACGTCGTTGAACCGGAAAGATCAATAGGCTGAGTTGTTTGTAGCTTTGTCGAATCGCTTCCGCTCGGATGGCTCCTTTCTTTCTGATGCTCCTGATGAGGAACTGATTTTTGCGGCACTGAAGGGTTCGAAAACGATTTAGAGGGTGGTTTTTGTTTTTGTGGCACATTAGAGGTTTCTTTCCGCATTGTGTTTTGAAAGTTTTGGTGAAGTTGTTCTTGAGAACCGATATTGAAATTTTGCATGTATTGATGTTTCTCCATGTCGGACATTTGCGAATATAAGTACCCGAAATTTTGACTCGTCTGATTTGGGAAGTTATTCGAACTTTTCGATGGAAAATGGTTTCCTTGATGTTTTTGATTTGACGAATATCTTTGATGACTCGAACTGCTTTGCGATGGCATATTTTGTTGGGAAGATTGGGAAGATTTAGACGTGTATGAGTTGTAATTTCCGTAAGGGTTCTGATGTGAGTTGTGATCCTTTTGATAATAACTATTGGAATAATTTTGCTGTTTGTTCGATGATTGCATTCTTGGATTCATACAGTTGTTCATTGCATGTCTATTTCCCTGAGCATTCATTTTTTCAATGTAATTTTTAAACATATTCTGTTCGTTATTTTCAACTGGTTTATTCCTCATAAATTGCGCTTGTAACATTGCTTCTTGCCACATATTAAACTCTAAAGGGTTGGTATAGTTCATTGGTGGTTGAATCGGAAAACCCATTGGACTTACAGGTGGTCTCATATTAGCAAACAATTCTGGTAACTGATTCATGTAAAAAGAATGGTGCATGGAAGTTATCATTTTCAAAAATTCTGGATTATTAGATAGTGCCATTGCTTCCAACTGGTTGATATAAGGAAACCAAGGCATTTGAGTAAATGCAGCTTGAGTTGCGGAATTTATATCATTTGCCAATTCATTAAATACTTTTGTTTGATTCTCAACTGAAGAATTTTGTTTTGTGCCACTTTCTTTTTCGGATTTCTTTTTAGTACTACTAGGAGAATGGTGATTAGTCTCCGTTGGTGATTTCTCACTATTTTTATCATGTTTATCGTGGATTTTAGGCTCAGAATGTGATTTACTTGTCGGAGTTAATGAATTTTTATTACATAAAATTGACTCTAAATGATTAAGGTTTATTACTAACATGTTAGGATCTTGCATTATTTGTGGATAGGCTAATGCTTGTGGTAGCCTCAGTTCAGGTCTTTCTTTTAATAGTTTTGGAATTTCAGTTCCAGGATTTATTAAAATTTGGCTAAACCTTTCTTTTGGTACCAACAATGGATCTGGTACGTCTTGGGTAGGATCAGAAAGCAATTGTTTTAATTGTACCAAAGGATCTATTTCTGTTTCAGTTTGCAATAACTCTAGCAGTTTAGGTGTCTCAGTAAATGATTTATCAGAACTTTTATTTTCGGTTTTATGTTTTTGAATGTCTGCATCTAATAAGGTTTTTAAAGTAATATCCACTGATTTAATTTTTTTCGTAGGAGGTTCTGATTGTGAACTATTGATTTCTTCAGAACATGTAACAGTCGGACTCGCCGATTTGCGAGATTTTCCTAAATCTAATGGCTCTCTTTGTGGCGTAATTGTGACTTCAGAATTTAGTGCCATCTTTTTGGTACAATTTGTTAGCAGTGATTCTAAGAATATAGATTTGGGTTTACTACTTACATTTACTGTTGTAGACACTATGTCTGGTGATTGTGGAACTGCGGGAATTCCACTAGGCTGAGGTGATTGTATAGCTTCAGAATTTTGTGATTGGGGTCTAGGACTCGATACATTTTTTGGTACACTTAAATCGGTAGGTTCTTCGATAGTATTACAATTATCTGTTTCGTCCAAACACGGTTTGTGTATTTTTACAGATAGGTCTGTTGGTGTATCATCAGGAATATTTCCATCTTCGTCGTCATTCGTAGAAGATTCTACTAAATTGATTATTTCAGGTTTTACATAATCTACCTCATTTTCTTCTTTTTCTTCTGTCATTTTTGGATCGGCTTCTTCGAAATAATTTTGAAATTCAGGTACTGATTTGAGGTCTGTTTCGTTATCACTATCAAAATGCATTTTCGTTTCGTCCTCCTCCTCTTCCTCTTCCTCGTTCTCTTCAACTTCTCTTTCTTCTTCTGCGACTTTTTGTTTTTTGTTTTGAGAACTTGTATCACAATTATTTGTTTCCGTACATTCGGGACTTTGTAAGGACTGTTCTAACCTAGAAAGAATATCATCCATGGCTAAATTATTATTATCATCATCGTCATTGTAGTCACATTCTTCCGTTTTTTCATGTGACAAATCATCTGTCAAATCTAATTTAGATTTTTCAGAATCAATAAGATTATTTAAGGTTTCTAAATTTTTCATAAACTCCTTATCTTCGTCTGTTTGCTCGAAGGTGTTGAATGCTACAATTGCTTCCTCATTAGGGATTATACTCGATTCGGTTGTTTTATTCCATTCTTCCGATTGAATTTGTTGTTTAAACTCTAGTTCCGCTACAGCTAGTAAATTATCTAAAGGGCTGACGTCACATATTTTGTCGGCACTGCACTTTATAGTCGGAGTTTGCGCGCAATGGCTTACGGCACTGTTTACATTCGAGTCTCGTTCAGGAGAATGGTTCGGGCTTGTTGACCTCTTAACTTTTATAGTATGGGACGGTAAAAGAGACTCTACATTAACATTATCCGTAGACATCCAAGGTGGTGAATTTCCCGATTGTTTGTCGTCAAAGTGGTTGTCACTTTCTTGTTGTTCTTGAGGTGTTTCCTCTTCGTCATCCTGTTCGATATCGGAACAAACTTGAACTCCGGTAGAACGGCGTCGCACCTTTTCTTTCCGAGATTTTTTGTTTTTATGATGATGATGATGATGATTTTGGTCCCTAACCGCCTCCTTCAGGGTGGGCACGAGGGTTTCCGTGCGTGGTATAGCACGCCAGCCCTGCGCTGTCTTTGTAAGAAGGATACGGTTTCTTTTGTCGTAATCTTCGCATTTCACGTCCACGATGCGTGTGTCTTCCTGCCGGACCCACACAAAAATTGGATTCACGCGCGGCGTTTGCGGAAATTTAGCCAGCGAACTATTTATTTCCCGGGATTTGGAATGTTTACTACTCGAACGGGTTCTGGTAAGTTTGCGACTTTCGCGTCGTCTGTCTGATTTACGGTGACGCTCGGGCCTCGCTTTCCGGGAGAGCGGTGCCTGTGGGGCGGCGCTCAAGCCACGTGACCCTGTGGTATCGATTAGTTTGACGGCGGGCTGATTCGCCGAGCGCCGCCGCCGAGGGCGCTGTTCGCCCATAACCTCCGAACGGTTCGAGGCACAAGGGGCACACTCTAAAGGGCCCCCGTCCGAAATGCCGTCACTATTATTGTTCGAGGGTGGTCTTTTCCGAATAGCCGATATAGGAATAAGATCCGGCACCGGGGGCAGAGGCCCGTTGTTCATTGCATTCACCCTGTTTCGCACATTCCACGCTGCTGCTCGAAGCACATCACATTTGTCACTTATCACATTTTTTTAAAAACTTACTGCACTTGTCCATTTTGTGTGCCACACATACAGAACGATGTTATCGACCGGTAAACGAGAGAACTACACATTCTACTAAACTCTCACTCAACTGAACTCGGTAAGTGTTCTTGCTAGTGTATGAGAATTTATATCGAGAATAGCCGACGTCACGCGAATTGAGGTCGCTTGACGAGGGTTCAGAATTTTACTTAGAGTTTGTTGGCCCATAGGCGTGGTCAAAGCTTTGGATCCACCCGGATAACGCCTACATTGCGCGATTCTTGAATCTTCTTATGTTCTCCCGTCAACAAATTCCACCTGGTGGCTATGAACGTTACTATAAGGAAGAAATTGTAACCTTGACATACCGCTTTATGGTTGGACGAAGACTTGAGGAGGTGTAACTAGAATACACAAGAATGTGGAAGAGTAAATGTTTGTAAACAAGAACTTTTCTTTGAATATTGCTTGTTTACTCTTGTGAAACTGACAAAACAAAATAACAAACGTAATATGTTGAAAGTTTTCAGTAATTAATTTTTTTATTAAAATATGTATGTGTATGGTTTATTTTCTGCAAAGAGATTTCAAAATATAGAAAAGTATTGCGGAAAATAATTTTCAATAACTATCTTTTGAATACCTACCTGTTTAGAGAAAAAATAATTGGTTATTTTTCTATTTTTGTGAAATATTTTTACGTTACGTTGACCCTCAACCAATGTGTTTTATGATCTGATTCTACAAATTTTTGTGTAGGTACAGTCGGCGCAACCTAAATGTGAACGTTCTTTGGTTGTAATGGGATTTTTTACTAAAATTTATTCCTATGAGTCTGGCTTTGGCCAGTGGTGTTAAAAGGAGAGGTGGTAATATTGAGAACAAAAATATATTATTGAAGAGGTTGAGTGGTGATTAAATACTTTCGATTCATTTCTTAAAAATATATTACTTTTATTGGTATCGTTTTGTCGAATCGGTCTTATCTACATAAATGAGAAATAAAAAATTAAAAGAATATAAAATTATAGAAACAATTTATTTATAACAAAATAAATTAACATTGGAACATATAAAACTATAAAAACTATTTAATACTGGAAAATCAAAGGCTGTAGAAAAATTGGACAAAAAGTGGTCTTTAAGACGAGTATTTACTTGGCTTTAAAGTAGAGCATGCAAGGGTTTCGTAGTACCCCATTTTTAAAGTTTATTTTTAACTTTTTCTAAAAGTTAAAAATTGTGCGTGTAGGTAAAGGTTAAATCTGTGCTCCTCTGGAAACACTTTTGTAAAATTTGATTCTATTTTTTACCCATTTTCTCAATTTCTTTTAGAAAAAAAACTAAATTGAATTTTGAAAAAGTGGTTCCAGAAAAGCGTAGGTACATATTTTTTCTTTTAAAAATAGTCAAAAATAAACTTTAAAAGTGGGGTACTACGAAACCTTTACATTGCAAGATTTTTCGTCTAGAAAGTGGCGCTTCTGTTACATTTTTAAGAAATAAATATTTGAAAATGAAAACAATTTATAATATATTTTACTGATGCCTTACAAGGGATAAATAAATTTGACGTATTTGTATTCCTTATTGTTTTACCTACCTAAATCATTTCTGTAATACTAAGATCGTCATATATAATATGCAAGGGCAGTGGCGGCTTGTGGTAATTTAAAATGGGTGTTTACTTCTTCCAATAATTTTATCATTTGTAAGTTCGGTACAAAACTTTGTACAAGAGCCAATATCACTGTTTTTTTACTATTTGAGTTTGTATTAAGGGTAGTTATTATTATCATCAACATCATACTATTCTCCAGCACTAAAACTATTAATAAATGAATATTTTAGTTAGTGTAATATTTTAATATTGGTTCTGTTTTTAATACATTGAAAACCATCTATAAATATTATTAGTTAGTAAACTGATTTTTCTTCATATTTTGAGATTATTTTTAAATATTATATCAGGTTATGTAGAAAACTTGACATTGATTTTTGTGTAAAAAATATTATATCAAACTTTACCTACCATTTTTCAGTTTTTATTGTAAATTTAATCATTTTCACAATTTGCCACAGATGTCAAATAAAATATATATTTTTTAAATACCCCTTTTATTGGCAAATAAAATAAGAACTAAAATGTTTTAAATGTTTATTTTATAAGATCAGTCCCATCACAATACCTAATATTACACAGATACAAACGAGAATAAATATATATAATGCCTGGCATTCTAAATGATACTCTTTGCAGTTTAACAGACCCCCTTAACCCCCATTTTCAACCAGATTGTTTTCACAATCAATAGGCATCATCTCCTTAAAGAGCTTGATTTTTACTAAAAATTTCATGTTAATATTGCTTTTTATTTTTGATTGTTTTTAATTTCAACCCCCCTTAAATCCCCCATATTTAATTAGATTTTTTTTATAATTAAAGGGCTTTTTCTCCTTTTAGAGGTTGATGTTTGCTAAAAATTTCAAGTTGATATCATTTTTCGTTTTTCAGTTAGGATTTTTTTTTTATTATTTTAATCCCCCTTAACTCCCAATATATTCATTTTTTTCAATATCAACAGGCTTTATCTTCTTATAAAGCTTCATTTTTACTAAATATTTTATGTTGATATTGCTTTTTGTTTTTAATTTAGGATTTTTTTTTTAATTTCAACCCATCTTAACCTCCTATTTTTAATCAGATTTGTTAAAAATCAATAGGCTCTGTCCCCTTATAGAGCTTGATTTTTGCTTAAAATTTTCAAGTTAATATCATTTCTCGTTTTTGACTTATCGTGCTGACAAAAAACGTGACATCGGACAGGCGGACAAAGTAAAGCTATAATACTCTTCACAGAATACTGTATGAAGAGTTGAAAAAAAATATATAAGGTAAAATAAATAATTTAAAAAGGTCAACAATAATATTCAACTTTTTATCAAAGGATAACAGCACATAATTGAACATTTACTGTGCACTAAAATAGTGAGATACACATCGTAAAATGTTATCACACTTAATTCTCCATATGACCCTTTCTAAGGGTATTTCACAGCACATTCCAAAGTATTCTTGCTCTCACTAATGTCCTACGATCATGGCTGACTTTTGCATGTCCAAGTTTACTAAAATAATTTTAATAAATAATAGAATAATAGTATTTTGTCTAAATAGGTAAATCGCCTTCATCTGTATTTTCAAATTATTGTTTAATTGTAGATAGTATATTAATATTTTAATATGTACTTGCTCTTGCTCTTTTCGAGACATACTTTATTACCAACTATAAACTAATTTACCAGGTTTGTATGCACAAAATCTAAACTAGAGGGGGGCAACAGGATTGTTAATTATAGGCAAAAATAACTTATGAACTATTTAAATGTACATACCATTTCTTAGTTTCTCATTATGAGTAGGTATATTAAATTCAACTGGTTGATCCATTTTTCCGATTTAGACTTTCAAAGTGAAAAACCATTTGTGTCTTTATCTTTATCAAACGTTTATTGTACATTTCCATTTTTATAATTATGTAGTTACCTTATCAGAATAAATAAATTTTTCCTTTTAGCGGGTTTTGTGAGAAACAAAAATTTACAAATTTTTTGCTTATTTCATACTTCATAGTATTTACAAAGATAATTATTGTCATTCACCTAAGGTTTAATTTTTTTAATAGTAGATGTATATCTATACTTCGTGAGTAGATGAATGACAGTATGACAGAAGACCAAATGACAGTTTGTTTGATTTGGTACAGTGTTGCCAGAATATGTTTTTGTTATGTACCAGATTTGTCTAAAAAATATACCAGATTCCTTAAATGTACCAGATTTTTTTATTTCTATTTTTAGTGATATCTAAATTCATTGAAGAGGAAAAAAAGGGGGTCTTTATTGATAACGAACCCAAACAAGGAATACAATATATAGACTGGCAACACTGGTTTGGCAACCTTCTTCGTGAGCGACGCGCCAATTAATGTGTTCTTTGACAGTTTGAAGGATGTGTTGGCGTGTTGTCTACTCTTTTTAGCTAAATATATTCGCCAAATCGTCTCACTTGTGTTAGGCTCACTCATCATAATGCGCCACAGACACGGTATACTTAGGTATATTATGCCTCAGAGACGCGATCAGCCAGAGAGCAATGATGTACCAAAAAATATAGATTAACACGTATGAAAATAAAAATATTAAACTTAAATATATTTTTATGTTATTTATGTAATTTTAAAATAATGTGTTTTTATGAAATTGAACTGGGTGTTCACTGCACAAATGAACCAATGGAGAAACCGCCCCTGTGCAAGGTTTTCATATTACACCAATTTTACGGATTATTTTTTAATTTTACTGCAAGAAAAATTATGTAAGTACAGGTAAAGGCTAAACCCGTGTCCCTCTGGAGTCACTTTTTGAAAATTTAAATCGGTTTCTTTTGAAAAAAGTCTAAAAATATGTCTTTCTAACGAAAATAAATACAAATAAAAATGCTAGAAGGGAACAATATATTTAATTTTTACCTACACGAGCATTTATTTTTCTTACAATAAAAAAAATACGTTAAAAGCTTTTTCATCTAGACGGTGACACGAACAAAATGTATGTCCTTTTCTATTATTTACAAGTGATAAACAGTACTCAAGTAAAGTAAATTTTATTTCACTACGTTACATATTACAATGTATGTTTGCAGCAAGTTACAAAACGTACATATTAAAATAACAGCTTATTTAGACATAAAATACAGAACTACACAACGAAATAACTACATACATATAATTGTTAAGTAGAATAAAATAACTCAAATTAAGTTAGGTGAGTAGGTATATAATATATAAAAGAGAAGAGGAAACAAAATAGAGTGGAAAGTTTAAAAACTATGTAAGTTTACACCGATCGATATATTCCTCGACGGAATAAAA